ATAATAATAATAATAATAATAATAATAAAAACCCAGTGTGCTTGATTATTATTTTCATTTATTTTTTATTTATTTATTGAACGATTTTTATTTAAAAAAAAAAAAGATTGTGACAGACCTTGTGCTTTTCAAATCTAATATTTAGTAATTAGTAAGTAGTGTCTGCTGCAGTAGTGAATTTTCAAAGTTTTATTCTTCATTGGAGGACCCTGCTGGCACTTGGTTTCCACATCGGATTGATGGATGGTCATGCTGAGAAACACATGAAGTACATGAGACTTCCTGTCAAGTAAGTGAAAATCCACTAAAAAAAACCAACAAAAATCCACTATGCAAGATTTATGCATATATCCTTTTTCTTATCTGCTTATCCAGTTTAGGGTCATGGGGTTGCTGGAGTCTATCCAAGCCTAATGTAATATCATGTTTGATTTAATTTAGTCTTGTCAGCTGTGAGTTGCATCATGTCTAAATTAAAGTAGCAGAAAAAGATAAGGATCATCTTATGGTGGTAATGGTAACTCATTTTATGAGGCTACAATAAAGAGAGGATACACAACTGCAGTTCATATTCATTTTATCTTGTATGCTTTCACTAGGAGAACATCTCACTTCAATTTCAACACTCTTCTTTGAGCCATCCTTGCAAACAAATTCTTTTTAAAACTTACAGCTTATGTCAAAGAATAGTTTAACTGCGATAAAACAGCACAATGAACATCACAAACCACCGCCTACTGAACACACTCTTTTCAAACGCTCAAGATGTTTGAAGTGTGTATTTTTCCTTTGCAGCCTTTAGTGATATGTTGGCCCCTTTAAATTCTCTGAGAATTTTTCTTCCCCACTTTTTAAATGCAATTTTGTTTATTTATTTATTATTTATATTTCTTTAACGTTTATTGATGTTCTGCTTTATTTGTTTCGTGCGGTTCAAGCGGGGTGTAGGCCAGGAGGGAAAAAGTGAGCATTTAGTTTACTCAAGGCAGTTAAAAGTATTTTATGCAGGAATGGTACAAAAATACTGTTTAGCATTCAGGAACTGTAACTGTGATCCTGTCACATCTCTGTCTTTTTTGCTTTGTTTTCTGTCTTAGGTATGAGCAGATGACTGGCTACAGGCCTGCTCCAGTAGACCTGAGCCAGGTGTCTCTGAGCTCAGACCACGAGGAAGCAGTTAAGTTGCTGGCAGAGAATGAACACAACGTATGGGCCAGAGAGCGAATCAAACAGGGATGGACTTATGGAGCGCAACAGGTTTATGTTCTGTGCTGGATTACTTCAGTTTGTTTCAGCCTTACACAAAAGTACTTTTTCCAGAGTGTTAAAATAGTTATTATATACTTTATATAGATATTCACATAGTAGCAAAAGGTTATACCATGAGATAAGTTTATAGCGTCAAACATAGTTGCCCCTCTTGCTCCTTGCGTCTGTACTTTTAGGATATAAAAGCAAAGCAGAGCCCTTACCTTCTGCCCTACAGCCTTCTTGATGAAAGAACTCGGAGAGTGGGAAGAGAGAGTGTCAGAGAGACTGTCTGTACCCTGCTGGCATACGGCTACAGCCTGGAGCCCCTAAACCAGGATCACAGTATGTTTCAAAGATCTGTTATAAAACTGTAGCTTAGTGCACATCATATGTAAGGTAATCAGTGTAAGTTCAACTGCGATATATTAACAGAGTAGTAAACAAAGGTTTATTTGTATATTAATCACACTGCAGTATTTGTCACCATTGTTTTCCCAGAGGGATTTTGTTCTACAACGCTTTTCCCAAAAACGAAACTTGGGGCGTTGTAGAAAATCTAAATAAACCTAGATTGCTAGGATTTGCAAATAATCTTTAGCACACATTTATGTAGAAAATAACCTAATGAATGTTAAACATGACAAACATATTTTTATTACATGTTTATTCATTTAGACATATGTGTAGATGTAGGATTTTGATGATTAGTGGGGATTTTCTGCTGTCTCTTACATTGTATCCAGAATTCCAACTTTTTTTGAAATAGGTTTATGGCAAATAACAATATGTTTCCTGTTTCTTGGCTTCACAGCTACATTATCAAAACCATGTTTCTTCTCTGCTGAGAAATGCAGAGTGTTCAGACCAGATAAATCATATGCTGTGACCCAGGGGAAGTGGTATTTTGAATATGAAATACTGACAGCAGGGAATATGAGAGTGGGCTGGGCCCGACCAGGCTGTACCCCAGATAAAGAGCTTGGCTCAGATGACCAAGCATATGTCTTTGATGGATTTGAGGTGAGATATAATTAAATTTGACATTTCTTACTTTGGCTACTGACCATTACAGTAGCTGAATGGGAATCGGCCCAAATTATAATGGCTTTGTTAATGCATATTTATTTATTTTAATCTTTTTTTAAAATTTACTTAACTAATGAACTTTAATTAACTGTTTTTTCTTGCTATATAACTATATAACTGAGACTAGGTGACGTTTTAGAGAGCAGACAGAAGGAGATATGTGGGCACAGACAAGTATCTGTTGTAGAAACGGAAACATTAGTTACTTTTTTTGGACCTTCTAATGTCTGCATATTGTGTCACGTTAGTTGCATATCCTTGCAGTGACTCCTGACCTCATATTGTTGGTTGACCAACACAGAAGGTCTCAGTTACTCCAAAGCTGTGTTGATATGATTAATTAAGATCAAACAGTTCCAGTTTTTAGTGATTTGTTTTCCATAAGTATCATATTTTGGTACTAACATGTGGTATATGGATTATTAAAAAATTGTAGAGTTTTTAGATAATTCTTCAAATAGATAGCAGTAACCTCATGCAAAATATACTTTATGACTTTTCTTGTATTGGCTCTTCTGGGTTGTTCTTTTTTTTGCCTTTGGCTTTTTGCACTTGTCTCTTTCCTTCTAACTCAATGTTGCTTTCAGGCTCAGTGGTACCATCAGGGCGGCGAGCCCCTGGGACGTCCATGGCTGAGAGGTGAGGTGGTGGGTTGCTTGGTGGACATGGATGAATGCACCATGATGGTTACGCTCAATGGAGAGCTGCTGTTTAATGACAGAGGATCGGAGCTGACTGCCAAGGACTTTGATATTAGAGATGGTCTGTAAAAGTTTTTGGCTTTATACTTTCTGCTGCATTTTGATGTTTCTAATATAGCTGTACTATACCTTTATTTAAAAGTCTAATATCGGAAAACTATATTGCCACTTCCTGCGTCTTCCAGGCCTATTACCTGTGGTTAGTGTTGGGGTGAACCAGGTGGGGAGGCTGAATCTGGGACGCCAAGTAGGCTCTTTGCAATACTTTACTGTGTGTGGCCTGCAGGAGGGGTATAGACCTTTTGCCATCAACATGGCCAGAGACCCAGCTCTGTGGATGAGTTGGAAACAGCCTCAGTTTACCTCCATACTACCTGATGATCACTATTTACAGGTAAATTTACAAGGTTTCCTTCACCCATCTACAGACCTTGATGACCTAAGGTTGCTAATAACGGTGATCAGTTAACACAGATCCTGAAAACCTTGTTCAAATCTTTTTCAAGGTTACAAGAGTCAGCGGCTCAGCGGATTCCTTATCCAGCCTGAGGGTCTCCCAGTGTATGCAACCGCACCATGGTGGAGAAAGTGAGATGGGCTATTATCGCCTCAGCATGTCTGTCGGATGTGCTGCTGTCCTCAGAAGCCCACCAGGGGGGGTGCTTCCTGTGGCCTCCAGTGCTCTCTCTCCAAGCTCAGGTTTATTGATGTTATATACAGTATGTTCAAGTTTGAAATCTTTTGAGAAAATGTTACATCGGACCACATTAAAGCTCTGTTTAGTTTGACATAATTTCAACAAGCAAATATCTCTAGACCTGATGCAAGATCTGTTATTATTATTAGGCTACTGGGAGAAACAATTAGTGTGGGTGACTTGCATAGCTGCAGCTATCCAGATTATCCACTGTCTATGCTATTGATATTCTGCCATTATGACCTTGATGAGCCTGCTTAAGCTCCCAGGGGCCCTGCTGTAATTAATGCCTGTTGTCCTTTTAGAAAGGAAAGAGCAGGAGGAGGTGGACTCTGACTTTGAGGTGCTGATGAAGTCAGCCCACAGCTATGCTGGTTCAAGAGATGAGCTCAACCATAAAGATCATAGTCACGACAAAACATCAAGACTGAAACAGCGGTAGGTGGTAGAGAAAGAAAAATGAAGAAAGTATGGCCCATGTCCTTTAAAATTGAATGCAAAATAACACAATAACTGTGCTTTGCTGAAATTAATGTGCGTTTCTTTGTCTGTAAGGTTTATGCTGAAGAAGACCAAACCAGGCTTAGTCAGCAGTAACTCATCTGCACGGCTCCTCGAAGACGTTGTAGTCGACAAGGATAACTATGATCACCTTATCCAGAGCTCCAGAGTAAGGCTTCATCTTCTCATCATCATGTGAAAATGCACAATACAAAACTAATTGTAATGCAGTGTGCGTCACTTCTTTGCCAGCACATATAATTACCTGCCGCAATAAAACTGTTGAATGCAAGATGCAAATACCAAACAGTGACACCGACTAACCTTTCTGTTTCAGTATTACTACTCAGTGCGGGTTCTTCCAGGCCAGGAGCCATTCAATGTGTGGGTAGGCTGGGTGACCTCTGACTTTCATCAGCATGACATGACATTTAACACTGACAATGTCCACACTGTGACTGTCACCCTTGGAGATGACAGTGGCAAAGTCCAGGAAAGGTTGGTGAACAACAAAACAGTTTTATTTAGTATTTTAGGTGACTGTATCAAGAATTTTGAATTTTTACTGAATAGAGTTGTTTGGTTTTTTTTCCATAATTATCCTTCATCTGCTGTAATTACTATATTTACTGCAGAGGTGTTATATTCCAGTGTGCTGTAAATTTCCATTAAACAGACAGTACCCCTCTGTCTACACAGCGTAAAGCGGTCTAACTGCTATATGGTTTGTGCTGGAGAGGCAACAGGGCTGTCTCAGAGTCGGAGAAGCACAGGATTGGAAATTGGCTGTTTGATTGACACAACCACTGGTCTGCTTACATTTACCTCCAGTGGAGTGGAGATGGCCACTTTCTACCAAGTAGGTCACACAACAAACTGTGTTTTTTTTTTTTTAATGTATTTTTTACTTTAATAAATGTAAGTTTTATACATTATGTCTCATACTGTTCGATATAACGATATACATCGGATGATGATATCAAAACGTCTATCATTTCATATTACGCTATAGTTTGTTTCGTGATTTCGCAAAATACCTGTTTACGGCAATATTTTTTTCATCATTTTGATGGTCACTGTAATTTCTTAAAGCTCTCTCTTTCTCTTATGATTAAAATAAGCACACTACGGACGGACAAGCGACTGTTTTTATGCGTTGTCGTTAGCAACAATGACGGTAAAACCATTGCATGGCTCCGCCGTCTGCTTGTTTATTTTCCACATAAACCTTTCACAATAAAGCTGAAGATCCTGTTGAGATTTTTCAAAATAAACTGAATCACGTGAAAGAATACGCAGAATGTTTACAGATGAGAAGCAAAAAAGAGCCGTCAGGTGCTAAAAAATAAACCTTAGACTCAAACGTTAGAACAGGCTTTCCCCCGCAGCACGCCGTGTAAATACTCATAAAGAAAATGTCTAAAAATGTATAGTTTCATGCATTGGTCAAAACACTTGACTCCAGGTACACGACTAGCTAAAAAAAGACTTCACGCATATCGAGTTGCCCGAGATTTACAGAATTTGCAGAAAATGTAACATTTTTGTGATATATATATTGTTGTCGGGACATGAGATTTTGGTCATATCGCACAGCCCTACTATGTATGCAACACTTGGGACTGAACTTGGGACTGCTAATGTTATAATGTCAGTAACAGGCAAGTTGTTGGATTGCATTATTAAACTGAGCATAAACTGTTTCCCTGCAAATCAGGTGGAGGCAAGTACAAAGCTCTTTCCTGCTGTTTTTGTCAAACCCACCACCAAAAACATGTTTCAGTTTGAACTGGGACGCATCAAGGTAATTCAACTTTCATTATTAAACCTGGCTAAGATACTTTTTTATTTTTTTTAAGCAGGTTTTGCTTATTTTGTGGACAGATTTGAAGAGTAATAAATTATAATGCAAGATGTTAGCCTGAATTTCAGTTTGTTTTTCATACCATGCTAAAATTGTCATGTATGACATAATTTCCTATATTTGTCTTCTTCTTGAATCCAGAATGTGATGCCACTGTCCTCAGGTTTGCTTCGGAGCCAGTCAAGGAATGTCACTCCTCAGTGTCCTCCTAGGGTTCAGGTCCAGTGGCTGAGGCCTGCTTCATGGACTAGAATACCAGACAGAGCACTGAAAGTGTTGGTTGATCGACCAGATGAATGTCACGGCTGGAGAATTCAATGCCGTGAGCCCTTACAAGCCATGATCCTTCACATTCCTGATGAAAACAGGTTAAGGAGACAGGATTTGATCTTTTACAGATTTAAGTACAAAGAAATATTTTCAAGAAAATAAAGAAATTTTGTTCCAAATGTTGTTGGTGCAAAAGCTTTAATTAGATTTAGGGTTAATAACAGTGAAGTTGCATTTGCTTTTTGATGCTATTCATGTAGGTGTGTTGACATTTTGGAACTGTCGGAGCTTGATGACCTCTTGACCTTTCACAACAATACCCTCCTGCTCTACTGCTCTTTATGTGCTCTTGGCAACACCAGAGTTTGCCATGCCCTCTGCAGTCATGTGGACCAGTCGCAGATTCTTTATGCTATTCAGGATCCCTACCTCCCTGGCCTGCTCCGGTCTGCATTTTATCAGCTGCTTTTTCAGGTGACTGCTTGTTGGAGGTTAGATAACATTAACTGACAAAAGAATAAGTACGTCCTGGTCTTTGAAGAATATCTGAATACATTTTATTGTTTTTGTCCTCAAGGTTTTCCTCAGCAGCTACACCACAGCCTGTCTTATGATGAACCATGAATACATAGTTCCTATGACTGACCAAACCAGAGAAATCACCCTTTATCCCAGTCCTATTAATGGTGGGGATAGACAACCTCCAGAGGGAATACCAAGTGCTAGTTGTAGCACATCCCTTAAACCTCAGATGCATTTTTCAACTCCTTGCTTTATCAGAAGCGATTGCATAGAAGGAGCTAGTGCACTGGAAATAGCCTGCAAAGACAGCCCAGAAATCTCTCTGGACGTTTTAAAGAATCTTACCGTGGAGATGCTGACTGCTGCAGTTTGGGCTGTGGGTCAGGATGTAAGGGATCCTGCAGGAGGCAAAATCGAACTTTTGCTTGTTCCTTTATTAAGACTTTTCTACAGCCTCTTGGTTATGGGGGTGTGTAGAGATGAAGACTTAGGGAAGATTCTTAGACTCATGGAGCATTGTGCATTTGCAAGGCCTGGAACACCCATAGAGAAGTTGGAAGAAGAAACTGGTGATGATGAAGAAGAGCAGAAAGGAGTGATCACTGAAGAAAGTTACACTGTTAAACAAGGACTTCTTCAAATGAAGCTTCCAGAAGCTGTCAAACTTGAGGTGAACCAATCTGCAAAAAAATGTTTTTTTTGATAATGCTCTTTCTTCTCTGTGGGTCACTGGGGATTGGCTTCATGTGCTGTGTTGTTTGAATCCTTTAAGTATGTTTAAAATTAGCCATGAAGGACTGCTTTATTTTATTTTCTAGCTCTGCCACTTGCTATCCTACCTGTGTGACTGCCAGGTTCGCCACAGGGTAGAAGCTGTGATTGCTTTCTCCGACAGCTTTGTTGGCCAGCTGCAGGAGAACCAGCGGTTTCGCTACAACCAGGTCATGCAGGCGCTCAACATGTCTGCTGCCCTCACTGCTCGCAAGACAAAGGAGTTCCGGTTACCGCCACAGGAGCAGGTTGCATGATATGAATACTAACTAAAAGGATAAAGTTATAGCATTTGTTTTGCAGTGGTTTATGTAATGTAGCTGTAACTCTGAAGAAAGCATGTAACACACACTTGCTGATTGTCTATACATATTGTAATCTCTCACCTGACTACAGATCAATATGCTGCTGACCTTCAGAGAAGATGCGCAGCAGGAGAACTCTCCGTGTCCAGTGGAAATCCAGGAGCTTCTTCAAGACTTCCATCACCTCCTCGAGACACACTGTGGTTGGAGCACAGCTTATCTTTGACTGATTGAATTTTTATTGAGCTAGGGAGTTATAAAAAAGCTCCAAGAAAGCACTGAGGAAATCCCATTTTATGCTGTTGTCATTCTACAGGCATTGATTTGGCCAGCACCTCAGAGGATGAAGAGGATGCAGAGATGTCTATAAAAGAACAACTTCTCTGTCTTGTGGCGAGAGTCTTTGGCCGTAATAAGTCATCAATGGATATAGACGGGTGTTCTTCACATAGCCCTAGTGAATACAAGTTTTCTGTTTTTTCTTACTTTGCACATTTTGCTCTCCTGTTGCATTTTATCACCTTTATAAGTCATTTTATTTAGCTGCACCTGTGATCACGCAGCATGTTTTTGGTTACTAACAAATCATGCAAACATAATGTTGGTGAAGGAGATGTTATATTAGGCCATGCCTAGTGTTGATGTCATTACGCATAGAATTAATGTGCTGCATATAACCTAAGTGATAAGTAACTTATTACTCAGTTGCTCCCTGGAGAAAGTAATTTGACACATAACTTAAATTACACCTGTTTTACCCTGTAATGTGGTGTGTTTGTGGCATTGTCACATAATTACCATTTAACTATATAAACCTCAAGTGTTTATGATGTTTAAGTATGAATACATAGCTGATAGCAAAGTTGAAAACCAGCTTCATAAGACCTCTTCATAATCATCATCACAGCAATCTGAATATATCTATCGTGTTTTCTACCACAATGTTGTCAGTTCTAGTTGAATTAAATAGAAAGGGTAGCTTGCCATCAAGAAAGGCACTTTCTAAGTCTATAGCACACCCAGTTTAAACACAATAGAGAAAAAAAAACTAACCTGAAGAAAGTCACGAAAAACAATTATAAGCTGTTGATTGAGTCATTGATTGATGTTAGACTACGTTAAGTCTCAAAGCAAAGTTTACGTCAAATAGGGTTTGTCTCTACAAAAATGTCAAACATCAAAGAAAAGGAAGGTTCATAAGTTTGACCATTTGGCTTGTAATTTAACATAAGCTGCATCAGCAAGGCCATTAACCATTACCACAACCACACAATCTTAGAGATTAAACTGCTTCATTCATAATGCTGCCCAGTAACAGAATAGCCATTGGTAGCAGGAGGTAAACAGGCTCAAAGGAATTAAGTCAGGGAGACAGGAAGAGACCCTACGATGTGGAAACTTGAACCCTAGGAGCAGTATGGTTTTAGCAGATTTTAAATTGGTTACAAACATTCCCAGGTAGAAATAAAGCCTACAGTTCTACAACGCTGACCGTTCATCACTGCTTTTGTTTAGATCAAGCTCTGGATGTTTGGCTGAGGCTGGTTTACACTCTGCCTAAACATGAGTCTGGGTTCTGCTCTAGCTTTGTGTTATCTTTGCAGATGCTTGCAAATAATTGTGTTATCAGCAGGTGTTTATAACCGAGATACAGTTTGCACTGTACCCACAGGTTTTTGTACTTTAGTGCACAACAAATGAAAGAAGTTGTAGACTGCGCCACTGCTTTTCTCTCCTGCACGTGAACTGAAGTCCCCTGATTGCAGCGCAAGCGTGTCTGTCCACTATGCATATAACTGATGAATCTTTAGAACTCAAGTAAAAACATGACAAAACATGACAAAGTAAAAATATCACAGTACCCCAACACTGGCAATATTTACTGTAAGTGACATAATAACAAAATTGTTATTACCTAATAAATGAAATTTCCAATGTTTTGCTATCTCACACACATCCATTAATCAATTTGTCATTTAAACACAGATAATAGGATTTCGAGCCTGTCCTTTTATCTCTGCTTCTCACCTGGTGTTACTCTTTCAGAGTCCCTCAAAAAGATGATCTCTGAAACAATGGTGCGCTGGGCTCAAGAAAGTGAGATTGAGGACCCTGAACTAGTCAGTGCTATCTTCTCATTGCTGCACCGCCAGTATCAGGGCCTCAGGGGCCTAATGGAAAGACCCTTATTCAAAGCTTATACCATCAAGCAGTCGTCACTGGTGGACACCATGGCACTCTTGTCCTCCTTGGGCCAAATCCGCTCCCTCCTCAGTGTTCGCATGGGGAAAGAGGAAGAGAGGTTGATGATCACACGACTAGGGTAGGAATAATTAGTTGCTCTTGTATAATTTTGATTAGTATCCAAGTTTCCATTACCATGTGGTGCCACAAGTTTTCTTACATTTTTGGTAACATCTACAGAGATATCATGAATAATAAAGTTTTCTACCAACATCCAAACCTAATAAGGGCATTGTCGATGCATGAGACTGTGATGGAGGTGATGGTCAATGTTCTTGGAGAAGGGCAAATAAAGGTGAGAAAATAGCTCAAATGTATAGAAATAATGTGGAGGAAATACATGAAATCAAAGTTTAGATGTTTATTTTTAGTTTAAAGGTTAGAGTTCAAATTAATTTCTCTTGTGGCTAATTTGCATGATTCAGTCTAATCACTCAGCGTCTGCCCCTTTACAGTTTGCTTTCTCTGTGTGCTTGTTTTAATTTACTATTGCTAGGAGATTACCTTCCCTAAGATGGTTGCCAGCTGCTGTCGATTCCTGTGCTATTTTTGCCGTATCAGCCGACACAATCAGGGAGCCTTGTTTGACCACCTCAGCTACTTATTGGAAAACAGCAGTGTCGGGCTAGGTAAATGTCAGTTTTCTCTGCTATATAATCTCACTGGTCTTTTGTAAAGACCAAACTTGAAACATTTTTGATGGTAGTTTACTGAAAATATATAGAAGTAAACTACACCGATATACATTATTGTGTTTTGCCCTTATACTAATAGCCTGGCATAATGGAGAATTTGAGCCCATGTTTCAGTTGTTTTATGTTTTTTTGTTTTTGCAAAGCTTCACCGTCCATGCGTGGATCCACTCCTCTGGATGTGGCTGCAGCTTCAGTTATGGATAATAATGAATTGGCCTTAGCACTGAGGGAATCAGACCTGGAGAAGGTAACTCTGTATTGACCAGAAATCTTACAGTCCATTAGTCATTCTGTAGACAGTATACTGGCTTCCTTCAAGTCAATAATAATGTATAATTAATAAATATGATTCAAGGTGCAGGGGAAATGCAGCAGTATATATAGACAGTGGAGCTTAAATATAATATATATATTTATAATATTAAAGTTTAGTTTCTAAGAAAGCTATAATGTTAAGAAAGATTCAGCTTGAGCAAATAAGTACTTTTTGCTGATAAATCTTTTTTTTCCAGGTGGTTCAGTGCCTTGCTGGCTGTGGTCTCCAGAGCTGTCCAATGCTAGTGGCAAAAGGTTATTGCGATATAGGGTGGAACCCTGTGGAGGGCGAGCGTTATCTGGATTTTCTACGTTTTGTTGTCTTCTGCAATGGTAAATTAATGATTTAAGTTTTAATTTTTAGTATATTTGTTCATACAAATAAATATGAAAAAATAGAATCAAAAACATGGACTAAAATGTCACCCTGATATTTGCGACAAAGTTACACGTGAGTCGTTACATACATTTGGTTGGCTCGATTATGGTATTTGATCTGTCACACGAAAAGTTTTAGCTTGCCAATTTCATTTAAAAAAAGTGCAAGCTTAATTAATACTAATAGAGTATACTGTATAATATACATTTAATTCTTAATATATACATTTCATTTGCAGAGCATGCAGGTCATTTATTGCTTCTGAAACTTAAAACACAGTGTTGATAGGAGCAAAATGCAAATTTAAAAAGGAACAAGAGGCTGAATCATGTCACGCTCCTAATTAAGCTGCAGTATTTGCACTAGAGGTAATTCACTCCGCTATTGATTTTCCTTAGTCTGAAGCGGTGCCCAAAAGTCATCTGTTCAAATTGCCCTTGAGGCTGTTGACAGTTCAGCCAAATGGCAATGGCCCTCTGTACCACGTGCTCCTCAGTATTTACAGCTTCACCTCGTCTCTGTGCAGCACTTGAGTTGTGCAGTATATTGTTTTATATCACTCTACAGAAGATATATAACATTTTTATCCTCTAGCTGTTTAAATTGATCAGTTTTCTTTGTGAGAGTCTTTGTTAATATATTTATTGTTGTGGCAGATATTGAAGAATAAAAATCAAAGCTGTGTGTTGATTGGTCACAGGCGAGAGTGTCGAGGAGAATGCTTATGTGGTGTTGAGGCTGTTGATTCGTCGACCTGAGTGTTTTGGCCCTGCACTGCGAGGTGATGGGGGAAATGGTCTCTTAGCAGCCATGGAAGAAGCCATCAAGATCTCTGAAGACCCTTCTATGGATGGTCCTTGTACCAATTATCATTCCAACAGAGCGCTGTCAGTATCAGATATATGCAGTCACATAATCGAAAAAAAATATTTATACTGGATTTAGAAATATTGTAAATCCAGAATCAGTGGAAGTAACTGTGATAAGCAACAAAAGAATCTGTACACATTAGCTTGTATCTGTAGAGGCCACCAGTAATATATGTTGATAATCCGTGATAGATAATATCAGGTCATTGCAGGCTTTTGATTGTTATGATTGTGTCCTGTAATAGAGATGTTGTCCAAGACGGCGATGATGATGTCATTCACATGGGGCACGCCATTATGACCTTCTACTCAGCTCTTATTGACTTGCTCGGTCGCTGTGCTCCGGAGATGCATGTAAGTGTTCCCTTAGCTATCATCAGCTTTTCCACATCAATATCTACTCGTGTCTCAACCAATAAAGCCTAATGAAGAGAGTCTGCAAACTTCTGTTAAAAGAATAAGCCTCAGACAAAAGTATGCATTTTAGATGCTGCATTGCATTTTGCCTAATATTTATTATGTAACCCACACTTGGTTACAGGTTTTTTAATGTTTTAAAGATATTCTCAGACCTAGTTTGGACTTACTCTAATAGACATTGTTGTCCCTTGTTGGCCAACATTCAGTATACTGCAATAAGCCATTAAAGGCAGATTTACTGGTCAGGTCCTATTATTCATATTGATGATAGAGTACAACAGGGTGAATAAATGAAATGGTGAACATTGCATCAGATCCTCGAGCCATCGGGTTTTTGAGCGTGTCTACCTGACTGAAAGTGTCTGAAAACATTTATCATTTAAAATGATGCTTTTCTTCCCTCTTTGATGCTATAGCGCTAAAGAGCACAGGTGAATTAAAAGAAGGGGACTTTTTGTGCATCAAAGGCACATTGATGTTCTTTAGATAAAGTACATTAAGATATTTAAATGCAATAATGTCAGTTTAACTGTATTTTTATATATTGACAGTGAATAACACCAGTAATTATTTTTTTTATATTAAATACATGTTAATTTTGACTGAAAGTTGAATTTAAAAATAAAATCCAAAGTAACTCACTGAATGACACTGAAATTTGTAACACTTATGACCAGTTATTTTATTAATTTGTATTATGAAAGTTGTTGATATTATGCCTTGAATGACTATTTTATTTTTTGTCCAGTTAATTCAAGGAGGCAAAGGAGAGGCAATCCGTATCAGGGCCATTCTGAGGTCTCTCATCCCTATTCGGGATCTTCAGGGAGTCATCAGCATCTCCTTTCAAATCCCTTCAGTCTCTAAAGGTTGAATAGGCCACATTGGCCAGACTTTGGCAGCTGTGGCTTTTTTCTAACTCATTAGACATTGATGCCTCACTCCATAATCGCTGTGGAAAAATAGTGGAGGTGGACGGAGGCAACTGAGGCTAAGCACCTTATCAGATATTAGACAGTACCAAACCATTCTTTCACACAGAGAGATGGGACCACATAGTTTTCACAGTAGATGTAAAGTACATAATATGTTAATATGACCTTGGTCATCAGATCTAATCTTGTCTTGCTTTTCCAGATGGTGCATTGGTTGAGCCTGACCTATCTACAGTGTTCTGCCCAGACCACAAAGCAGCCATGGTGCTGTTCCTGGATCGGGTTTATGGCATTGAGAGTCAGAGTTTTCTTCTCCACCTTCTAGAAGTTGGCTTTCTGCCTGACCTTCAGGCAGCTGTCTCTCTTGACACTGTAAGCTGAGAAATATTCATTTTTGTTTTCCATTAAACTCTATAACATCCACCAGTCCTTATGTAATCTGGGGAAACTTCACACCCATAAGTTAAACCTCTTTTTTTCCCTTTGCAGGCCGACCTAGGATCCACTGACATGGCTCTGGCCCTCAATAGATACTTGTGTACTGCTGTTCTTCCCCTTCTCACCAAATATTCAGTTCTTTTCCATGATTTAGAGGACCACATCTGGCTGGTTGATTCTCTCATTCAGGCAGTCTACCGCCTCTCGAGGGCTCTTAGCTTGACCAAGGCTCAGAGAGACACTACAGAAGACTGTCTGTTGGCTTTGTGCAGGTAGGGTGTCCAGCTGGTATGAATGAAAAACAGAGGACAAGGTGAAAGAAAGTGGCAGTCTATATAATAGGGCATTAAATCGATGGGGTTCTCTGAATGAGAGAGATATATTTAGAGGAAGTGTTGTTCCTCTCTTGAGTATCATAATTCAATATTGCAAGTCTCAGTTTTTGGGTCATTGAGGTTTATTTGCAACAGCATCCAAACTAGATTCACCTACATATCCGAAATAAATGGTTTGACAGCTGGTTTCACTATGTTTGGCTCTTAATTTCAGAATTATTCCAACATTTCCTTCCTATATCCGCTGACATCAGTTTCAGGCTGCTGTTTGAAAAAAATAGCAACAGCAAAATATTAACCAATCCAGATACAGCTTATTCCCACTCATTATATATAATGAATCACTGGTAATTCTCATTTTCCAAATACAGATAATTGCCATATTAAATGAACAAGAGTGTGATGTTAATTATTGGATTTATTAACATTTTGCCAATGGCATTTTCTGAGTTATGTCATCCTTCTGAGATGTACTAATCAGTCAAAATATCGTTGTGTGTGAGTGTGTGGATGTGTGTGTGTAGGGGAAGGGTTGTTGTGTTGGCTGATGTGGAATGAATCTGTTTATGTGACTAATTCTGCAAACCTTGGTCCTCAGTAAACTCCAGCCACCTATGATGCAGCCTCTCCTTCGTCGGCTTGTCTTTGATGTCCTTCATCTGACAGACCACAGCAAAATGCCTCTAAAGGTGGATAATTAAATTTGGGCTTGCCACACACTGAATATGAAAATATATTAGTACACTGAGCTAAAATGATTAATTTTGTTAACTAATCACGACTTTCATCTATCAGCTCTTGACCAGTCACTATGAGCAAAGGTGGAAGTACTACTCCCAGTCTGGCAGGCAGGGTGAGCAGGGTTGTGCATCTGAAGAAGAACTCTACCTGTCTACAAAGTTGTTCTGGGGGGTGTTCAAGGCCTTAGCCAAGAAGGTAAACTAAACTGATTATGTGTGTTAGTCTTGACTTGAGCTTATAATTACTTACTACTTAAGCACAAAAATAATTGCATTAAATGGGGAAAAAAAGGTTTTCTTCAAACTAATTCATCTCATGATACGTCCTTCATCTTTTCTTGTCCTCCTTACGAAGACAAATGGCAAAATACATTTCTCATGCGCTTCTTTAGTGTACTACGAGAGCCTGCATCGGGGAAGATGTAACACACTTGAGATAAGGTGTTAATTTTTCATTTCCTGGTATGAAACCTCCCACTCTTAAAGTGACTGTTTGGAAATGTGAACAGCATAATGTACGTAAAATATGTCTGCCAGATACTTACCTGAACGTTGCAGAACGGGAAAACATCAAAAGAAATAAGTTGATGAGGTCAAACCACCCACTCATGGAGCAGACATCAAACAGACTCAGAAGCAGAGCACAGTATTAGCACTGCACAGAACTATGAAGATGTTTTTCACTGAAATTATTACACAACAAAAGGCTTTTATATGTACAAATGTACATGCTTGGGTGTACAATATATCCCTTGCCCTGCTTATTGCACTTCTTGGTTGGGATTTTGATTGCTTGCGTTATGTGACACTGACAAATCTTTGCATATGAAAATGCTTTTTCAGGAGGAGTATGCAGTCATATGTTTACTTCCCAAGTAACTAAATCCATAACTTATTAAATTTTAATTGAATGAACTAAATACAGGCTCTGAAATATATAGGTGGGTTTTTGGTTAACACGATTATTGCAGTTCATATAAAATTAGTTCTTCGCTGTCCTCCCATAACCTGATCTCCTGATGTAGTGTTCCCCTAAATGGCAATGAAAATAATAAGGAAGACGCTAGTATAAGATGACATGCTGAGTGAGGAGCATGTCACGCAGCATCATTGTTTTTACTCTTTTTGATAGCTTGTCTTCTTGTCTAATTTGTTTTGTTTTTTATCTACTTTTATAGCCCCAGATACTTCAGTTATCGAGTCTATGTGTGCAGTGCATCTCTGCAGTGGCCATGGCCCTGCCTCCTGATCATATGGAACAAAACTGCTCGTCGCACATTGAGAAAATAACCTCCATCGATACAGACGGACACTTTGACCCCCAGCCTGTAGATACATCCAAGTAAGATACCCCAAGGATATTTTTGGATGATTGAAAAGAGAATCGTGTGAAAATGACCTGATTAATCAGAAGTGTAACCTGTAATTTAACAGACCAAGTGTTGTATTCCGTGAATATTAATATTATGATTCGCAGAGATTAATGTGCAGTTTTAATCAAGGCTTAATAATGTATTATTTCTGTCTCTGCATTAGTGTATCAGTGCCAGAGGGGCTGGAGTTTGTTGTGAACAAGTATGCCGAGCATACTCATGAAAAGTGGTCACTGGAAAAGGTATCATATCCTGGTCTGGACTGACTGTCATCATAAGAATACCTTTGTACATATTTTTCTCTGTGGCCTTGTCAAAACATCTCTCTGTACCGAGTCCCTGATTTATTCTTTGTTTTTTGTTTAGTAAATCTGTGTGTTTTCTCTGCCAGTTTGTCAGTGGCTGGGTTCATGGAGAGCACCTATGTGAGAACACCAAAGTTCACCCTCGCCTCAAGCCGTACAGGGCTCTTGCTGAAAAGGTACAGATGAAGTAGTCAGTTTTTATGGCATGTGTGGATGTTCTTCATGTGTTCTTCAGTAATGACGGTGGTGATATCCTAGATGTACAGAGACAATTGCATATATACCAAATGTCAAGTAGTGATGGGTGATTTGCTTCACAGTCCAAACATACTGTGACCCCCTCCCCCCTTACCTGATGTAGAGGAGACTACAATTTATTCCTCACTTCCAGCATGAAGACATGTTTGAACATTGACTGATTTAGCCAGCTGTAATTATTGAACATAAGTGGCAGGATATCAGCTGAACACCTTTAGAATTATTAAGGCATAACATTTACTGTCTCTTTAATTTTTTTTAACTTTACATACCTCACCTCGTGCTCCTATGCTCTTCACCTCTGCCCCTCCGTGCACAGTGGGGCGGAGGTGAAATATCCTCTGATCAAATATGGTAGCTCGGCTGCACTCCTGCGTGGAGCGCAGCACACAGAAGTCCAGCCATGTGTGCGAACGCCCATGCATGCCCAGACATGTTTGTGCTGCACATGTCAATCATATGTGGAGGTGCAAAATTAAGTCTTTAAATAATGCAATTTATTAAAAATCTCATATTAATGAAAATATTATTTTAATAAATCAGTGTGGACAATAAATAAAACTCTGCTTGACTGATGTGCTGTTGCCGTTACATTTAAACCATCCTCAATCCATGACATCATCGTCTGCTGGCACAACCTAGTACATACTGTAAAATGCTAAAATTGTGCAACACACAGTGAGTCATAATCTTGTGAGAAATCTCATTTACATATACAGTACTGTATATAAATCACATTAAAAGTGTTAATATTTTTGCAGAACAGTGTGATCTTCAAGTCTACTAAACATTTACTTTTCAAACATATTTGATCTGATTTTTAACCTTGACAGCTATGTGCAGTACAATTTGGACATCTTTTAGGACCACTGCTCAATAGAAACATGAGTGGAAATGCAGAATAGATCCACATTGTTTACTTTATGGGACACATTTCTAAAGGCAGACAAGATTTAGCCCAGAAAATAACATCCATGTGATGCCTGGTACTTGGAGGCTGGCTATATGCACTCATTGACAGGCTGTTACAAGTTCTTGAGCTACTTAAATAGTCTGCTGTCCCTTGATACCTGCTTATTTTAGTTTTGCATTAAACCTTTTGTATATTTCTGATTTTCCAGGAGAAGGAGGCATACCGCTGGGCCATCAAAGAGACAATAAAGACTATGCTTGCATTTGGCTGGAACATAGAAAGGACCAAAGAAGGAGATGCGTTTAGCATGCATCCATGTACACACAGGGTCTCTCAGTCTGGACAGGTATATGTGCTCATGTTCTGCTTGTTCTTGTTAAAGCAGCATTGCTTACAAATAACTTTTTATTCCATTAATAAGACTTTTTTTTTTTTGTCCTAGCTGTCATTTGAAGGCGCATCAACCTTCAGCCCCAAACCTGTGGACATGAGCTGCATCACCTTATCATGGGACCAATGTGTAAGTTAAAGATTAGATATTAGAACTGGCAGTTGACATATTATTCAGTTATGTTAATTTTCTTCTTTCTTATCTCTTCTTTTTGTATCATCCTCAGGCCATGGCTGAACAGCTGGCTGAAAACTACCACAATGCCTGTGCTAAGATGAAGAAATTAGAACTTGAGAGTAAAGGTGGCATTAAGTGTTGATAATATCTAGTTAATCTCCTCTCTTTTCTCTTACTCTTATCTCATCCCCCTTCATTTTAGGAAGAGCTGAACAGCTAATAAAAGTGCTATGCATTTCACTCATATCTATTCTCAGGAGGAGGTAGCCATTCGCTGCTTGTACCTTATGATACCTTGAGTGCCAAAGAGAAGGCTAAATTCAGAGAAAGAGCTCAGGATGTCCTCAGGTTCCTTCAGCTCAATGGCTACACTGTGTGGAGGTGAGTACAGAATACGCTTATGATTACACCAGGGCGATGCAATTCAGCGTGAATGAGGTGCTCCATTTTCATGTCACAGTGGCATTTCTCCCTCACCGTTGATTAGAGGCACTGTAGCAGTCAGTCCACAGCCTTTTTTCTTTGTAATAATTTCCAGTACAGGTCACAACCAGAAATAATTCGATGTGTAAGATAAATGTATTACCTCTTTGTCATCCTGCTGCAACACTTGCATCTTTGCAATAAAAATCTTGAAATTAAAAAATACTGTATTATTAAGTATTTATGATTAAAGTTCAGTCTTGCTTTTAGTAGTGGTGTTTCATAAATCATATCTGATTTCTTGTTCTAAAGAGATCGGAAGTCAGTGGAAATGGACTTTCCAGCCATAGCCAACTGCTTTGCATACACGCTGCTTCAGCGGCTCCTGTCTCACACTGAGGAGGCCCAAGAGAACCTTTTAAAGCTTGGTGAGATAATGTTGTATATTAAAAAGAAGATAAAAAAGAACATAAAAGATTTTTGCAATATACCGACATGTTAAAGAGAAGTTTTCACAGCACTATATGCTGTCCTGTGAAAAATAACTACACCTCATAACTTAATAGCTTGTCAAACCACTTTTGGCAACAATAACGGGAAGCCATCGTTTCTGGTATGACTTTATCAGTCTCTCGTGTCATTGTGGAGCAATTTTGGTCCACTCTTATTATGCCCTCACATACAGAGTTGCCTCCGGGATTTTTTCATAGGGGTGGCACACCAAAAACAGGATTTCCGGTTTAATTATGCTGTTTTCAAATATAGGTTACTTGAAAAATCTGGCAAAAAATTGAGAAAGAAAAGAATTATATGCCTAGTTAATTTCCTACTATTAAAGTTGAAAAAAGGTACTTATGAAAACCAAGCCATCACATAATAGTTCAGCGTAGTTTGGGTATGTGAACCTGTCTTTCATACATGAAGGTGACATAGAAACACTTCTGTTTTTTGTTTTTTTTTAACTTATCTGTATTATCTTGACAGTTTTACATTTCATTTTTCACTTTGTCTTTTTTTCATCAGAGGTGATGCAAGCCAGAGGACAGATGTCTAAGGGAGAGAGGGCTCCACACGAGCAACCAGTCATTTTTCTTCACAAGGTTTGCATCAACCAATCTGCATATTTAAACACAGTCAAAGTCTAGCATCTGATAAAATCTCTGACATTGATTTAACCCCCTTCCAATCTAATTCTGCCAGTGCTATTTTATTTCGTCTCATTAACTTTTTTTTCCTTATTTCATTTATGCCATCTAATTAGTTTTGTTTGATGGTTGCCATAGGCGAACCCTTTAAGTAAAACCCTTTGGGCTGTGTAATTTATTTAACCATTTTGGAAATCTACGTGGGCGTGTCAATTGCCATCAGGACATTGATTAAGGCTTCCTACACTGCTCTGGCTCTAAGGAGGCAGCAAATGAAAAGAGTTTGTCTTTCATCGATGGGACCTCCAGAGTCAGACCTTGTCAGCCAAGACTGTGAGCAGCCATGCCTCACATCTCTGCTTCTTTCACCTCCCACTCAGCCCACTCTCACACAGCCATGCAAGTCTGTGTCTGTTCGGCTGTTCATCTGTCAGTGAATTGCCAGTTCATCATACTTTCTCTGCCTGTCATTAAAGTCATGTTAAAAAGGCACAAGGCTTTGCTCAGTCCCTGGAAGCTTTCTTTCCTTCTTTTTAAAGAAACTTCTAGTAATGATTACAGGGTGTTCAGACTTTTAGGCCGATCACATGGATGTTTACTTATCTAGTGTTGAACAAGAGTAGAGACACATATTTGATGTAACTGTGCAGCCACAGAAATTTTCTATTTCAATTTTCTATTAAGTTTTGTCACTGTGTGGTTTCATGAGCAGAGGACCAAACAGGCAAACCGTGCATGTGATCTCATCAAGCACATACTGTTTAGAGGATATTTAAGGGGTTTGTCGGTTATAGATGTTGGTTTATGAAATGATTATTTTCTCTGTTTAACAGGTTATCCTTCCTCTTTTGGAACAGTATATTAAAAGCCACCATCTATATTTCCTGTCTGCTTCCTCAAGTGATAATAGAAGCCATGCCTCGAGAAAGGAAAAGGAGATGATTGCATGGTAAAAAACAAAGTTTGCATTCTTGTTTTTTATACTCTTATCTGATCATTTCTCAGCTATTTTGTGCATTTTTATTTATTTTTATTTATTTAAAAAAATATTTGCATGTTTTCAGAAAAAAGCTTTATAATATTCTGTCTTTTTATTTTGTGTCCTGCAATTTTCAATTCATCTTCTCTCATTACTTTCCTTGTGTTTTCTGTTTACACGTAGCCTCTTTTGTAAGCTTGCAGCTCTTGTAAGACACAGGATCTCAGTCTTCGGTAAGGATAGTGTGGACATTATAACATTTATTTGTTTATTAAGTGTTAATCTGTGCTTTAATCCTCATAATTCACATATAATGTGTGCATGTGTTTTTTCAGGAAGAGAAGCCTCGTCAGTTGCAAGCTCCCTCCACGTTTTGGCTCAGGCTCTTGATGCCAGGTAACTGAATGGCACTTTCACACTCTGCCAAAATCGATCTTCTCGCTCTGCCTGCAGTGGCATCAGCGTTGCACCACCATGTCTAAGGATGAGATGACTGATGTAATTGAGCCACTGGTGCATTGATGCTATCTAATTGTGGTTGATATCACTTTTGCTCCCTGAGGACAATGCCTGTGAAGCAAGCACAGTAGTACTGTGGCTCAGCAGAGGTTGATGCCATTCAGACTTGTCTGAGGGATAGATTAGCTGATAGATAACTGATTTAGTGATTTAACTCCCAGCCAGAAGTGTCACAGTAGGAAACCTTCAGTGGATATTTCTCCTTTGCAATACTATAACAAAATAATGTAGAATATTTTTCAACTCAAATAATTGATTTTCCCACTTTTTCATTATAGGACTTTAATGAAGTCAGCACCAGAGTCTATTCAGACATCTCTGCATTCCTTTTTTAAGGCAGCGGCGTCTGACTTAGAGATGACTGTGGAAACTCTTTCTGAGAGCTTAGTTTCGCTGCCTCAGAGTAGGAGTCAGCTGGCAAGAGGAGTAGCCAAGGTTCTCAACTACACAACCTCCATCCTTCTCCCTACACTCACTTCTCTCTTCCTTCATCTTGGAAACCAGAACCATGGAGTAGATCTCCTGGGTAAGAACTACCATTATAGTGGTTAAGTAGGAATGCCATGTTATTGTATTATTTCATTTACATCCTAAAATGCATGCAGAAACATGCAGATGTCACTTGTAAAGATACATTTAGTTATCATCTCAGCATGACAAGAAACACACATACGTTTTCAGGTGTTGGATGCACAGCTGGCTTCCACACCCCTGAAATCACTTGGGTACACCCTCCCTTCAGCTTGAAACCAGCTCTCATTCAGTGCCTCAGTCATGGCCACAAAGCAGCAGGAGCATACTGTCTCTCCCAATAATATCCCGACCTTTCACGAATCATTCATTACCTGAATCAGCAAGCATGCAGCTAATCCACCTCTCAGTGACTGAATGCTTTCAAAACTGTGGGTTCAGTGGTTGTTTGTGAAAGAAAACTTACGCACCACCTTGTTTTTTCAGCTGGTGGTATACAGGTATCCTGCTACAGGATCTTAAACAGCCTCTACGCTCTTGGAATCAGTAGCAGCATCTACATGGAGGGGTAATGCTTGATTTCAGATGTCTCCAAGATGATATCTTAAATAATTTTTGTGTAATGTACCTATAATTCATGATCGAAGTTATTTATTGTATTAACCACACAGTGTTGGTACAACATCAGGGTATTCAGGGTGTTATAAATGTTAAAGGCTACCAGATAGAAGATGATGTTTAAACCTGAGATGCATAGAAAGCAGCTTTCAAGCAAACTTGTGTTAGCAATCCCGATTTGTAATATTATATCGTACTTTAAAATTAGTCGATTATTCACCCATGCCTATATCCTGATATGCACAACTCTTTCTATCCAGTCATAGGTCAGCAGCAGGTGCTTGTCTGGCAGCCTTGACAGGAGCTTTACCCGTGTGTTTCCTGGAGCCAGATCTAAACCAAAACAACCCTTACTCCATCTACAATATGATGACTGCTACTCAGATAAAAGGTATTATGCAGGCACATTTCATACCCTGTTATATTGATATTCGCTGTCTCTTGGGAACCTTAAAAACCTTCCATCTTTGTTAGACCAGGGATTGCCAGATCAGGTGGAGGACATGTGTCCCCTCCTACCTTCTCTGGGACAGGCGCTGAGGGAAGTGGAGGAGCTGGCAGGTGCTGGAGCTCACCAGGCCCACTACATCCATGTTGCAGAGGTTACTTTGCCCATGCTGTGCAGTTACATTTCCCACTGGTGGAACTTGGGTCCTGAGGGCCAGCCAGAAAGGCCAGTGTGTACCTCTGTCGTTCCTAAGCATGCTAGTGACCTACTTGGCAACATCCTGCGTATCATCCACAATCATGTGGGTGCTAGCCAGGGTGACTGGATGAAACAGCTGGCAGGTACTTGTGTGGTGGACAACAGTGGTTTGTTGTTTAGATATACTTATTTCATATTAGTCAATAATGCATATTTTCCAACATCTGTCATTTATATCTCTTAGTTTTTTCTCAGCCAGTCATATGTAAAGCCCATCCTGAGCTGTTAAAGAGCCACTTCCTGCCACTGATGGAGAAACTGAGAAAGAGGACAGAATGTGTGTTGGTAGAGGAGGAGCAGATGAAAGCAGAAGGCGGGGATACCTCTGATGCGGAGTTGCAGATACAAGAAAAGTTTGCTATGCTGGTCCGAGACCTCTACGCCTTCTTTCCCCTCCTCATCCCATTTGTGGATTCTCATCGGTAAGACACTCAAAGGTGCTTGTATGTGGAGGAGCGGATACTTCTTTTTCTAAAGTTAGAAGTAACAGAAGTAATGTAAAGTATTCATAGACTCAATGAAACGTGAAACTTATTTTGATATTTTTTGTATTGACTTGAGCTCCACTTTAATTATTTCATGGCCCCTGAAGTTCCCTTTTGAACCACATTGTTATTTTATAAAGACGGTAAAGAACAAATGTTGTCAAGAATTCAGTCGTTCAGTCGATTTTTAACTGCAAAAAACTGAGAGATGATACTGGAAGGTTATGTTAGTTATTATTTCAGGCATATGCTTTTGCTTTACAAATTCTGTGTTGTGAATGTGTTTTTTCAAATTTATCTCAGAGCCAGGTGGCTGAAAGACCTGAACCCTGAGGCTGAGCAGCTGTTCAGCATGGTGGCAGAGGTCTTTATATTCTGGGCCAAATCCCATGTGAGAATGATACACAGTGTTTTTATTTATTTGTTTTTCTCATGCCAATGCCGTCTCAGTGAATATTTTGTCCATTAACTGTCACGTGTCTTCGCTTATGTTCTCTGCAACAGAATTTCAAATGGGAGGAACAGAATTATGTTGTTCAAAATGAAATCAACAACTTGTCTTTCTTGACCAATAATGACAAAACATTCAAGGTTGGTCATATTTACAATTTGACCTCATCCATTACATGTGTGCTGATGTACATCTCTTTACAAAATACATGTAGAAATCACAGAAGAATTGCAGCTGCCACTAAGTGTAAAGAAAAAAAAATCCTGTTTTCATATGATCCCGATACTCAGCTTGACAATGAGAAGAGGAAGATGAGGAGGAAGAGGGGTTGTTATTCCATCAACACCTCTCTCATTGTGGCTTTAATGAAGAGGCTGACCCCTGTGGGACTCAGGGTTTGTTTTCCAAGCGATCACAGTCTCATCATCGTGGCTAAGAATGCCTTCTCTCAGGTAAGTTGGAAATGTGGACCATACTAAAATCCTCCACCTTTCACATCCTTCATTACGTGCTTGTGCACATTTGACACTACAGGACTGTTTAGTATACTTAATGTGGGCAATTACATGCTTTCCACAGAAGACCACTGAGAATGAGATCCGAGATCATATTTTCAATTGTGTTGTGCATCTTCAGAATCAGGTGGGTCGTTGCTTTAATTTATCTGACTAAGCACCATAATCTTAGATAACTATCTTTACAAAATTTGAAAAGGCTCAAATGTATGCAGTGTTGGAGAGTAACAGAATACATGTACTGCCATTACGTATTTAAAATACAAAATATGAGTAACTGCTCTGTTAAAGTTACGGTTTAAATAGGTGATAATCAGAATACAGCTACTTTGTTGAAATAAATAGAATACAAGGCGGTCATTTCATTTCATATGTAAGGCTATACCCTCTCTATGCCTTCTCCAATTTTGGTGATTAAATGCAGTCAGGCGCAGGTTTAGCTCAGTTGGATGAGCATGTAGTCCGAATGAGCCGGCCCGGGTTTGAGTATGACCCGTACTTTAATTTATTTTTTTTAACTCAATTTCCATCTGGGATTAAAACAGTTTTTCTGATTCTGATTGCTGGAAACCCAAAAAAACACGTGATAACAGGCTGTAATGTAACTGTCGTGTTAATGTTGGTGGCGTCACTTACACAATGGACCCAGAGCCAGCAGTGCCAGCAGCAGCCTTCAGGATCTCCACGCATTAACATGCTGTTAATGCTTAGACTTGATGGCGTTAACAACCTGATAGCTGCAAATAATCGTGTGCAGTTCCACATGATTATTAACAGACAAAAATAAAACATATTACTGGTACACTGTCCCCAGTGGGGATAGGTTAATTGGAAACACTACATTGCCCATAGGTGTGAATGCGGGAGTGAATGTGAGCGCGAATGGTTGTCTCTGTCTATGTGTTAGCCCTGCAACAGACTGGCGACCTATTCAGGGTGTACCCTGCCTCTCACCCTAAGACAGCTGGGATAGGCTCCAGCGCCCCCCGCGACCCTGAAAAGGATTAACGGAAGTGAATGGATGGATGGACGGATGGACTACTGATACAGAAATAGTTTTCTATATGAGATCGCTGCAAAAAGTGCAGTCTTACCTAATGTCCACCCTACTGTTACTCATTTTATATTAAGATTTAAAAATCTAGTTGGTATTGGTATGGCAAGTAGCCTTCAGTAATAGTAATAAATCACACAGCAATAGTACATTCATGTAGTTATAAAAACCATGACAATATATTAAGTATTCCAAAGTATTCAGAATACGTTACTCTCATTGAGTAACTTAACAGAATATGTTACAAAATACATTTTGGTCCATGTATTCTGTAATCTATAGTGGAATACATTTTAAAAGTAACCTTCCCAACACTGAATGAGCAGGCCAACAGAAGTAAGCTTTAGACAGATGCCAAGACAAAACAATAAGCAGATATACACCAATCAGGCATAACACTGTCACCACTGACAGGTGAAGTGAATAACACTGATTATCTCTTCATCATGGCACCTGTTTGTGGGTGGGCTATATTATTTTGTTCTCAAATTTGTGTTAAAAGCAGGAAAAATGGGAAAGTGTAAGGCTTTGAGCAGGTTTGACAAGGAGTGAATTGTGATGGTTAGATCACTAGGTATGAGCATCTCCGAAACTGCAGCTTTTGTGGGGTGTTTCCGGTCTGCAGTGGTCAGTATCTATCAAGAATGGTCCAAGGAAGGTAAAGTGGTGAACCAGCCATGGGCGGACGAGGCTTATTGATGCACATGTGGAATCAAGACACTCCAATCGAACAGACAAGCACAAGTGCTGTAAAATTAATAATACTGGTTCTGGTGGAAAGATGTCAGAATACACAGTGAATTGTAACTTGTATATGGGGCTGCATAGCTGCTGACCAGTCAGCGTGTCCAAGGTCACCCCTGTCCACCGCTGAAAGGTAATGGCAGGGTGCATCTGCGTCACTTACCTGGGGAACACCTGGCACCAGGATCCACTGTTGTTGAAAGAGCAAGTTGGCTGAGGCGTTGCTTGGGCAAGGTTCTGCTGAGGAACTTTGGGTTCTGCAATCCATGTGGCTGTTACTTTGACGTGTTGCAGACTATACACACTCGTTCACAGAAACAGTATTAGCTGATGGCTGTGGCCTCCTTCAGCATGATAATGCACCCTCCCAAAAAACAAAAACTGGTTCAGGAATGCGTTTAAGGTGTTGACTTGGCCTCCAAGTTCCCCAGATCTCAGTCCAATCGACCGTCTGTGTGATGTGTTGGACCAACAAGTCTGACCCATGGAGGTCCCGCATCATAACGTACTGGACTTAAAGGATCTGTTGTTAACATGTTGGAGCCAAATACCACAGCACACGTTCAGAGGTAAAGTCCATGCCTTGACGAGTCAGGGATGTTTTAGCAGCAAAAGCGGGACCAACACAATACTGGGCAGGTGGTCATAATGTTATGCCTAATCAGTGAAGTATGTATTAGTTGTATGAATTTGTGTTTTGGACTGCCCTTAGACTGAAAATTACAAGCGTATCTTTTCTACTTTCTGAAGAAATTAATCATATTCACCGATATGCTTGAGAACAGAGTAACTTTTAATTTGTGCAACAAGTGTCTGGGAAATTAAATCAGAGAATGCTTTCATAGCCTGTAAAATCCAAAGCTGTCTTTTTATTAATCTCAGGCAGTGGCTCATTGTTCACCAGAGACATGAATGTGACATACTCGCCACACTGTACTAAATATGCATGCAGCATTTCTGTATTCATAAATCACTGATAAATGTGTTTACTCATAAGTTAGTGATGGGAAAATTCTGCTTTGTCATTATAAACAACTTTTAGAGCAGAAATTCGAGTAAATGTTTTTCCCAGTGGTCTTTGAAATCCTTTTTTCTTCTTTTATAATGATTTGTGAATACAGAGTCTTTATTATTAGTCAGTGTATATACAAATTCAACAACTGATATAACTACCAGCACCTTGGAACAAAACAAATGAATGAGCTAATCTTTTCTTCTTTTTTTTTTTTTTTTTTTTTTTATAGGGATCAGACAGTTTAAGACAGAAGATTCTTACAGAGCTCCCACACCAACCCGGGACCATCAGTGGTGCAGAAAAGACTGTTGACAGGATTATGGAAATAGCTCGAGTCCTTTATTATCTTGACCAGGTGAGCTTTTCCATGCTATGGAAAAAGTTGCTGATTAAGACACTGAGTAAAGGCTCCGTCCTTTCCTTGAGGTAAATTTGACAAGCTGAACGCAATCTGTACTGTACAGGAGACACGGCACGAGATTGATTGACAATGGTCTACAGCCAATCAGGACGCAGAACACAATGCACTGTCAAAACAAAATATAACAGCATGCAAAATTGCACAAAAAGAAATCCGCGAAAACTGAACCGCGTTATAGCGAGGGACCACTGTACACAGACTAATATTACCTTATCCTGTTTTTTAAAAAAAACAAACAAACGCACAAAAAACAAACAAAAACCAACACTTTTAAGCTGTCTGTGGTGTTGTATATCTAACGTCTATTTCATTTGTGGAAGGGGGAACTTACCATAATTACGTTCTCCCTGTACACCAAATTAAGATGACAGACTCAGGAATCCTCATCTTTATATGTGAATAGTTAATTCAGTAAAAGTGGAGAACTTAAAAGCTTTTTTTGTTTTATAGAAAGGGAATAGAAGAAACTAATTCTTGAACAAAACCTCTCTTTTAGTAGAAAATCTCACAGTGATGTCTGGGCAGTGTTGAAGATGCAACTCTACCCGACATTGTGTTAATGTCCATGATGAGGTCATTGAAACGTTTGCTGAGATGTTTTCATTCTTAACTGCGTGATTGCTGCGTGACAGAGATTCAGTTATGTTTGGTGTCTTGGAACTATTTTATTTGATTTATACCTCTCTGTATGTATTTGTGTATCATGACAATTATTGGTCTTGGAGACATCTGTTTATATATCCTGCTCAGCAGTTTTTGTTTCAATCCCATGATGTCACAACTCTGAGATGCAGTCACAAAATTATACAGGTGTGGTCTCTCTGCAAGACAAACTTTAATTTTAGTATTTTGTGACCTGTTGATTGTTTTGTTGATTTCATTTATTTATGTCTTTTAATGTTTGAATTAAACCATTTAAGCCTATACAATAGTTGCTATTGCATAGTCCTTTGTACCTAGTACTGGTCACCAGGTTCATGTGCACCAAGCTGCTTTAAATATCTTTGGTTTTGTGTTCAGGTGGAACACCCACTGAGAAACAAAAAACCTGCCAGACACACAGTTTTATCAAAACAGAGGAAACGTGCAGTGGTGGCCTGCCTGAGAATGACTCCACTCTATAACCTACCCAGGTAAAAAATAATAATAATAATAATAAAAAAATTATATAAATACTTGGCTTTGCTTTAGTAAGTATATCAGTTGCAATATTGGTTAGGCGAATGACAAAAGGCTAAGCACCCGTCCTAGTAATATTTTCATAGGTTTATAGTCCTCTTTTAGGTTTTCAGTCTCTCTCTACAGGGTATCCTCCTTTGTATAGAAGCTCATATTCCATTACACAAGCCACAATTGACTGAAAGCTGTCCAAATCTTCTCAAATACCTGTAGGACAGACACTGTCATTTTAAACCTATTCTCACTTTTCCCCAAGAGCCTCCTCACTGCAGAAAATGTTTACTTGTTGTTGCTTAGCTTAACAGTCCACAGATGATACTGACAACTTGACCACTGAGCACTATCACCTGCTCATGTTCTGGTTTTATATAATTTATAAAGTGTGAGACTGCAATGTAGTAGCACACCCACTCATTTGATAGTTGGCTACCAGGTTATCACAATCCACTTCTAGCCCTTTGACAATAAGAGTGCCACAACAGTAACAAAGTTACCAGCTTCCTGGATTGTTGCTCTGGATTTCTGTGGTTTGAGTCTCGCTATCTGACAACTGTGGGAACAGCTTGTGCTCCATTGGGAGATGAAAAAATATATTGAAATATGTTTTTGGTTATAGAATTTCTCTCTTTTGCTCTCTACTGACAGTCCCATTTTGAAAAACATTACTAAAGCAGTGTATGATTTAAGGCAGGCCGATCTTGTGATTGTGAGTTTGTCACTTATGTTACCAGAGAAGAAATATCTTTATATTTTTTTTCCTGTGTTTGCTTCCTTCTACTTCAGAAAGATAAGTCTTCTCTTTTTGTCATCCTTTTAATTTTCGTCTCTAGGCATCGAGCTGTTAACCTGTTTCTTCAAGCCTACAATAAATCCTGGATATCTGCTGAGGAGTACAGCTTTGAAGAGACACTTGTGGAGAATTTAGCTGTGAGTGGAGAAGGTGGCCCTGCTGGCATTAGTAAAAGTTTAAAATAATGTAGAGGAGGATTGTGTAACAGGCCTATGTTCTTAAAGGGTACCAGATGAGAGACATGAATTGATTTATTGTTTTTAATTAAGTGAAATGTGGCTCTAAATTGATTTTGATGAGCTATTCTTACATGAAGTTTTACTGCAGATTGCCTAAGGCACCAGTCAGATAGGCCAACAGACTGGTCGATGACACCTTGTCAGCCAGCATTTGCTAAGGAAAAATATGGGTTCTCCGGCTGGTTGACATGGGATTTCCTCAGGTTGCAAGCAGTGGCTAGTTTGAACTGTTATTAAACAGGTATATGATGCTGCACAGCTGCTAGCAGGTTTTGGTTGCAGTGGCAGCATTTTGTACTTTGAAGTTTCACTACCACTTGGTTATTAGTTGGCGAGCGTTTGCAGACTGGTCAGGATCTTACATGCAAACTGTGAGTAGCTCTGACAATCTGCTAGCAATGGGTCTGGGGGATGCTCAAACAGAGATTGTCATGGGGTTCAGTGCCTCTAAAAACTGAAGCCATAATCAAATCAGCTTTTTTTCCCGTGTGCATATAATTAGATATATTCTTCTTGGCATATGATGTTAGTACAGTACAGTACTGTTTTGCCAACAAAATACTTATCGTGTAAAACAAACCCTTTTTGCTCAAAATCAGCCTAAGACTGTGAGGAATTTCAGGCTGCACAAAAATCCCACCTACACTGTTGTACTGAATCGAAATTAAACACTAATACTATTGTACAATATTTTTGCACTCACTAAACTGCCCACTTTCTGGCATAAAAAGTAGGTGGGATGTGACATTGTGCACTCATTATTGTGTTGCCATCTTATTATCACTTTAAACATTTGTTTTATTAAAAAAAACATTAATCCATTAAGACATTTTGCTTGCATATGTCTTTTTAGTAGAATTTCCAAATAAATAACAAAGCAGCCAGGTGTAAACCTCAGTCTGCTGTGAACAGCCAGGCTGTGAAATTAAGACTCCATGTTAGTTCCTTTATTCTTTATTCTTTTATTTCTGGCTTGCAGAAGAGGGGAGTAATGGAACTGTATGTAGGTGGAAGAGGGGAAGAAAAGGATGTGAAGGAAGGTGCCAAACCAATCGATCCTCTCCTACAACTCATTACACTCTTCAGTCGAAGCGCCCTGACAGAAAGCAGGTGTGTGTGCTTATCATAAAAGAATCACTTGCAATAACATTTCCAGTCAGCACAACTATTATTAGTCAAACTCATCAGCCAGAAAGCCAACATTGAATTGACCAGAAGCATGATATTTTTGTCCAACATCTGTGGCCACTGACCTCTGAAAGCTTGGAATGTGGAATATGTTTCTGCCTTTTCCAGGGCTTTAATTTTTGCATAAATGCATTCTGCTTGATGTTGCAAATAATGTGTATCATTTACATCAATACATTTTAAGCTGCAGTTTCAGTGGAATATTCAAAGCATATATTTTTCGCCACAGATGTTGTGAATGGGGAAAAAAAATATTTCTTGTTGCAAGCAGTGGTTAAAATTCTTGTTGAAAAGTAACTGAAATAAGTATTCCTATAATCTCATAAATGCTCTTTTTCTTAATGTGTGATCTTATCCACCAGTACAATTAAGATATATTTCAGATATTCCTGCAGAAACTCATAACATGAACATAAATGAACACTTTGGCATCATGTCTTTGCAAAAACCATGGTGGAGGAGCATTCCCATTTGTAAAGTCACTGCAGAGATTTAATCAGATTAGTTAGTATCCAGGTGTTGTCTGTTAAGGTCAATAAACATGTTCAATGCCACTGGGTAGACTTGGGCATTAACTGTGTCCACATAAGGTGTTTAAAGGTAGTAGTGGCTTCAACAGTGTAAGGGGTTTTGAACTTGAACTTGTGCATACTTTGATACACACTAATCACATCTCGTTTCCTTTCTTTGTTCACAGTAAGGATGGAATTGACAGTCTCTATAAGTCCTACGCTGCTATTATGGCCAAGGTAATAGAACACTCATTAGTAGTGTCTAAATCTCTGTTCATGTCTTGAAGTCCTTTACAAAAGCATGCAGAGTGACTGCCTTTAATGTTACATATATGTAATTGTACTATCATAGTATTTTGAATTTTCTTCTTGAACAACATTCGCCAGCTCCTAAAATTATAGCAATAAACTAGAGAGAAACAAAATGCACAATGTGGCTTTTAATATTACTTTCATTCTTCTTTGTTTTTTGGTGAATAGCGCATGCAACACATATCAAAGCAAGGTGCCATGAATTTATGAACTAGGTGTTTCTTTTGTATGCACTTACTTGTATTTTCTACATCTTTTCATATAACCACCCTGCTTCATGTGTTTGCTTTTCAAGAGTTGTAGCAGAGAGGGCGAAGAGAAAGAGCAGGAGGTGGAAAGCTTTGAAGTAAGAGACTTGTGTTTAATATTCCTTAGAGTTTTTGTTAGAGGCTTAACTTGTTAGTTTTTACTATTTCTATTGTGAACAGTGTTATAGATTATTAATATTCAACATTATGTTAAATTCAATTTGATAAAATGGTGTATAAAAACATGAATTATCTTTTCATCGCCTCAGGAGAAGGAGATGGAGAAACAGAAGTTGCTGTACCAGCAAGCCAGGTTACATTGTCGTGGCGCTTCTGAGATGGTCCTGCAAACTATCAGCGCCAGCAAAGGTAGGAAAGACATTCAAATATTAGAAAATATTTTAATGTAATAGAAAAATACATTAAAATCATAGAAATTTAAATATTAAGATTAATCTTTTGCTTTCTAATTTATTATGTTGTTGCTTTAGATGTGCCAGCAGTAAGCCAGAGTATTTATGTTAGCTGAATACTCGGCAAAGATTCCCACATGCAGGGAACTGAGAAAGTAATCTTTTTCTTTCTGATTGATTTAGTGCTCATTTTCTTGAGACTGACGTGAAGAGAGTAGATGCTTAGTGTGTTTCACTCCTTTCTTCAAATGTGCATCATGGAGTGTTATTCTTTGGAGTCAGTACCATGCTTTTTCTTTTCTTTTGATTAATTTCAGGTGCCATAGGCTCCATAATTGCCCCTACGCTGAAGTTAGGCATTGCTATTCTCAATGGAGGAAATGCCACTGTTCAGCAGGTACAATAATTTCATTGCTTTCCCCCTGAAACTATTTACGTTGGTTTTTTTCTTGGCATTCACAAAATAGATCTGATATATACCTTCTGTGACATTCGCTATTTCTTCATTTTAAATAGGAGTTTAGGTTTTTATATCATAAAACAAATGATTACCATGAATCGAATAACTTGGGGAAGAAACTGTTTTATCAAAGATCTCAGTTTAAAGTAAACGAGTATCTAATGATACACCAGTCAGCTAAAACACTGTGGCCTGTTGGTCCTCTGTGTCTGCCCTGCTGGATGTGTGATCTCTGAAGGTGCCTTTTAATATGTGACCAGAAGGCAGCAGATCCTGCAAGTTGTATGCATTCCCAGTGCTGACCATGGGCACCTTGAAAGCCTTTCCATTTCAGAGATCTAATTATGGTGATTTGGCCCCTGACAAGCTGGGACAGGCCTTTACATCTACATACTTCTCCTGCATCCACCAATATGAACTATGATTGTTTACCCGAGCTTACATTATACATATATATCTGTGAGTGGTCCTAATTTTTTTGCCTGTTTGTGCAAATTAAAATGATTTTTTCTTTGGTCTCACTGCAGGACGTTAAATAGGTCTACAATAATGTTTAAACTAAGTGCCCTCGTGTCATTATTTGTCCTTATTAGAACATAGCCCTTTCAAATGTTGTCATCTTACTGCAGCAATGCTAATAAATCTAATTACCTCTGTTTCAAATCAGATCATCCATTTATCAGACCTTGTCTTTGATGCTTTTGTCTGATAGAAAATGCTGGATTATCTAAAAGAGAAGCGAGATGTGGGCTTCTTTCGGAGCATGGCTGGGCTTATGCAGTCATGCAGGTGAGTGAATGTAGAAAAATTAGATATCATGTCAAATGTTATAAAGGCTGGCAGGTTTCAAATAGTGATTGATTTAATTTACAATAAAAAAAAAAAAGCCAACAGTACAAGTGCTTTACTTGTGCTTTTTTCTGTGTGGTTGTGCCTGCTTTTCTTCTGTTCAGTGTTTTGGATCTGAATGCCTTTGAGAGGCAGAACAAAGCAGAGGGATTAGGCATGGCCACGGACGAGAGCTCAGGTACTGTATTCAAATAGGCAAAAAAATCTATTACTATTAATCCATGTCACAGCAGAAGAGCCAGCTGTGAGATCTTGAGGTCTTGAATTTACAGTCAAAAGTGGCCTAATTTTCTGTTTTATTCATTCTTTGAACATTCTCTTACTCGGTTTATGAACCTTACACCTCTACTCTCTTTTTTTTTTTTTTTTTTTTTTTTTTTCTCCCCTCACCTTTTTCTGTCCATCTTTTTCCCAGGAGAAAAGGTGATGCCTGACAAAGACCTAACCTGTGACCTGTTCCGTTTCCTTCAGCTGCTCTGTGAAGGACACAACTCAGGTTAATTGCTTTCTGCTGTATCCAGTTACATTCTGTCAAAGAGTTCACAAAAATATATTGATATATTGAAGAAATATAGATGGAAATTACTGTAGTTTAATAGCAACTTATAACAGCTGTGTACTACATATATATTGTCCAATCCTAATGTATGCAAAGCTCACTTTAACAATTTGTCCACTTCAATGATATTTTGTTTATGTGTTAGATTTCCAGAATTACTTGAGAACACAAACAGGCAACAACACCACTGTCAACATCATTATATCCACTGTAGACTATTTACTAAGGATACAGGTAGGCACGCTGTGATGAGTTTTCATTTGTAATCCTGTGTTTTGGTGTTTCATTTAAGGCACATTTGTGGAGCGTAATGTTTTAGTGATTGATTGATTTAATTTCAAGTAGATGTGTCCAAAATAAGGCAAAGTTAAATTAGCTGGAGTGCAATAATAGAATTGGATTTGTTCTTTGTCTTTTTCAATAGTTTTCTCTAAAAGAACGTTTTAGTTGTGCTCATTAAATACAAACATTTTCCTCTGCTACACTGTAGGAGTCCATCAGTGACTTCTACTGGTACTACTCAGGTAAGGATGCGATTGATGCACAAGGTCAGCACAACTTCTCCAAGGCCATCGAAGTGGCCAAACAGGTCTTCAACACTCTCACTGAGTACATACAGGTAAGTCTGTTTCCATCACATTCCATAGTGATTTTATTGCCCAGCTCTGTAGTCTTCATTAAACTTTTTCACAATGTAGTCTTTAAAATGTTTAATTAATGATCCCAGCAGTCTGTTAATTTGGGGTTGTATATTTCAAATTCTTGCCATGCTGCAGAATTAATTTAGGACCAGTCAAACTGCTTCGTAATAGCACTCTGTGATGGGTAAGATGTAAAGTGTCTAAATCTAGTGTGCATACAGGGTCCGTGTACTGGGAACCAACAGAGTCTAGCTCATAGTCGTCTTTGGGACGCTGTTGTGGGATTCCTCCATGTCTTTGCGCACCTGCAGATGAAGCTCTCTCAGGTACAGCGTATTAATCCACTCACAGTGACCATGCATGTTTCCATTTAAAATTCAGAAGACATAAAATTGACAATACTCTAGGTGATCATGTACTGCAGGGTTTCTACCCCCGCAGTCATCATTTTTTGTTCAGATTTATTTTTAACATAAAACTGTCCTCTGATAATGTGCCCACTTATGCACAGTGTAATATGTGAAATCAGTGGTACAACTTTATGAAAATTTAACTATGAATATATTTTCTGCACATACAGGATTCAAGGCAAATAGAGCTTCTAAAGGAGCTCATGGATTTACAGAAAGATATGGTTGTGTTTTTGCTTTCCATGTTAGAAGGTAAATATCTGCTGTTGTTTTGCAGTTTGTGATAGTAATAAGTTACCATTTATCATTAAGTAAGGACATTCCTGTGCCTCCTGCAGGTAATGTTGTCAATGGAACTACTGGAAAGCAAATGGTGGATATGTTGGTGGAATCGTCAGGCAATGTGGAAATGATTCTCAAGTTTTTTGACATGTTCCTCAAACTTAAAGACCTCACCTCCTCAGAAGCCTTCAGAGAACATGATCCTGATCGTCAGGGAAGCATATCCAGGAAGAACTTCCAGAAAGCCATGGAAAACTGCAAGCATCTCTCGCAGGCTGAGATCCACTTCTTGCTTTCGTGCATGGAGACTAATGATGGTGAAATTGTGAACTATGAGGCCTTTGTGGATCGCTTCCATGAGCCAGCAAAAGACATTGGCTTCAGCATCACCGTTCTCCTTACCAATTTGTCAGAACACATGCCCAACGATTCAAGACTAAAGACATTCTTGGAACTGGCAGAAAGTGTCTTGACTTACTTTCAGCCCTATCTAGGACGCATAGAGATCCTCGGCAGTGGGAAGCGCTTCGAACGCGTCTACTTTGAGATCAGTGAATATAGCCGCACAAAGTGGGAGAAGCCACAGGTTAAAGAGTCGAAGAGGCAGTTCATTTTTGATGTTGTCAACGAGGGTGCAGAGAGAGAGAAAATGGAAATGTTTGTCAATTTCTGTGAGGACACCATTTTTGAGATGCAGCTTGCAGCTCAGATATCTGGCTCTAACACCGGAGAAAGAAATACTGGGAAACAAGTCGAGGATAAACGACGCCTGGGCGATCAGGGAATGTTTTTCATGATTCATTGGTGGCTATTTCTCTCAACTCTACTTTCTCTGACAAACCTAAAGACACTGATGAAGATGACCCTGAAGGATATCCTCATGTTGGCTGCTCTATTCGTCCGATTTATTTGTATGGCTCAGGTACGGTGCATTTATGTTTTATTCCGCAGCATCTTATACGTGCTGTACATTACTTTTGTGAGTGGTGGGCTCATAGAGGGAGCCAAAAGGATTAGGATATCTGACTTGCTTGGCGGTATCCTTGAACCAACTCTTGATGAGGTCACGGAGGTGCCAAGTGGTGTGGATCAGCCGAGGAGGTACTCTGCCAGTTTTTCGTCCCACAGAGAATTGAGGGAGATTGGGCAGATGGGAGCTGTGACCTCCCCCAGAGAGGTGGATGCACTGTCAGGCATTTTTGGCCTCAAACTAAAGAAAGAGGAAGGTCGATACAAACTTGTAGCACAAGACCTCACTGCCAGTCTGGATGACCTGTTCAGCACAAGTTCCAGGACCAGTGCTTCCTCTGATATTGAGAAGCATCAGATAACGGTATGAAAATTACATTCAGAATGTTTTATTTAATGTTCGTGGCTCAGTACATTTTATTTTTCCCAAGGTTTTTCATCTGTGTGGACTTGTCTTAAGCTTCATTGATTTGTAATACTTTGATACTGTTTGAGCTTCATATTAAACTTTGATTCTTAATGAATTTTACAAGCAGCAAATTAAGGATCACACAACCACAGAGGATAAAAATGAAGACAAAAAAATGAACACAGAGTAAGTCTCTTGCATGCTTTCTTATTTGGTTCTCAAAGAGGGATTTTCTTTAACTTCTCAATAACACTTTTAAGTGTTACAGTCGCTAAAATGTGTGTTTAAAACCAATAAAAAATATTTTGCTAAATGACAGCTATAAAATTTGCCTACAGTAAGGTCCTTCTGGCTGCTCCCTTAACTCTCAAGGGGTTACAACAACAGATGGACCTGCATGTTTTATGTGATTTGATTCCCTGAGGCTGAATTTGTGTCTCCCTCTGGTCTAAAATCTTGGGTCTTATGCAAACATGCTGACCACTATAGTGTTGAGCCGCTGCCATTCAGCATATAAAAACCACTGACCTTTCTTGTGGGCTTAAAGCAAAGGTTAAGATCACATTTAACATCAAAAGTTTGAAATCTTCACAGGCAAAATTCTGCTTTCATCATCCCAGATATTGGTCAAAGTAAGGCTGTTTGACTTTCCCTCTGTTTGCGTATGGATTATTTGCAGAGAGAAGTCTGAGAAGAAAATTGGAAATGAGAAAGCAAAGGCAAGAGGGAGAGCCAAGAGATTCTCAAATAAGTTAAAAGAACCACAGAGCCAACAATCTGCCCTTTGGGAGACAATTGGCACTCATAACAAGAGCCTGCTGGTAATATGCAAGTGCACACACAGAGACACACATGGCTGTGAATGTATGAGTACAATGTAGATAAGGATGCATCCTTACACCCACGTCAGTTTTCCTCCACAGTCACATAAATATAAAGGCCAGACACCTCAGATTTTTTTTCTGTTTCTTTTTTCCAGAACTATTTTGCAAGGAACTTTTATAATCTGCGCTTGCTGGCTCTTTTTGTCACCTTTGCAATCAATTTCGTCCTTCTGTTCTACAAGGTGGGAATGTGCTAATGAGACAAGTATTTTGTGCTGTTGTGTGTTTTGTCCATGTTTTTTTGCCCATTATTTGCTACTTCATGCTGTGAAGCCCAGGGAGTCAATCAAACCGGGTAGTCTCGGTCGATGCTTTACTTTAACAACCTTGAATTTCTTATATTAAAAAAGATGGTTTTTAATATTTTGTCAAAAAAAAGTCAACTTTGTCTTAAGTATTATGTATTTGGTCTACTGTCTACCCAAGGTAACACAGTTTCCTACCCTGAAAGTAGAGGAAGGAATGACCACATCTGTTTACGGTGAAGAACTGAACTCTGATGCTGACAACAACAGCGAGGGCAGAGTGTATTTTGTACTTGAAGAAAACAGTGGATACATGGAGCCCTCTCTCAATTTCCTGACTGTAGCTCACACAATCATCTCCTTCTGTTGTATTATTGGTTATTACTGCCTCAAGGTATACCAGTTTAAGAACTTCTTTCACTTTTTACCTGTCAAGAGCCATGAAGTAAATTATCAACTTGAATGTTTTGTTAGTGTATTACTGATGTACTTATTCAAAGAATACAGTGATTATTGTAGTGCGTTTGATTGAAAGGTACCATTAGTAATCTTCAAACGTGAGAAGGAAGTGGCACGAAGGCTGGAGTTTGATGGACTCTATGTGACAAAGCAGCCTCCTGAGGAAGACATCAAAGGCCAATGGGACCGACTGGCAATTAACACCCCGTATGTTCATGACTTGTGTTTTAATATCATTTTTATTCATAAAGTGATGGTAAAATCAAATAACAGCCAGTTTTGTACTTCAAATCTAAGAAACCTGCTACTGGCACCTAGTACTTGCTGGACTCTTCAGTAGGTAGGCTTGCCTGACTTGGCTTTAAGCCAAATATCAAATCAGCCAATCACATGGCAACAGCCATGCAGACCTGATCAATACGACTTGGTGAATTTCAAACTGAGCACCAGAATGAGGGACAAATGTGATTTAAGTGGCATTGTTTTTGGTGGACTAGTCTGAGTATTTCAGAAAACTGCTAATCTACTGGGATTTTCCAACGGGGGTTTACAGAGAAAAGGGCAAATATCCAGTGAGCGACAGATCTTTGGGTGAAAATGCCATGTTGATGTCTAAGGTCAGGGGAATATGCCCACACTGCTTTGAGCTGATAGGAAGGCAACAATAACTCAAATAACACGCAGTATCATGTCTGAAAGCACAATATGTCAAACCTTGAAGCACATGGGCTAGAGTAGCAGACCCCACACCGGGTGACACTTTTATCAGCTAAAAACAGGAAACTGAGGATGCAATAAACAGAGGCTCACCAAATTAGACGATAGGAGATTGGAAATATGTCGGCCGCTGCGATGAGTCTTGATTTCTGCTGCTAGATCTGAATGGTGGGGTCAGAATTTGGTGTAAACAACATAAAAGCATGGCTGCATCCGACCTTGTATCAAGGGTTCTAGTTGCTGATGATGTAATGCTGTGACTGTAATTTTGCTGGCGCACTTTGGAGCCCTTATTATCAACATTATAATTTCCACACCACAGCCTGCCTTAGTGTTGTTGTTGACCATATCTATCCCTTTATGACCACAGTGTGCCCATCTTCTGATGGCAGCTTCCAGCTCGATAATGTACAATGTCACAAAGTTAACATCTCCAACTGGTGTCTTGAACATGGCAGTAAGTTCACTGTACTCAAATGGCTTTCATGGTCACCAAATGCCAATCCAATAGGATACCTCTGGGATATGGGGGAATGAGAGATTTGCATCATGCATGTGCAGCTGACAAATCTGTAGGAACTGCATGACCCTGTGCTGTCAATATAGTCCACAATCTCTAGGGAATGTTTCCAGCACCTGTAAATTAAAGCAGTTCTGAAGGCAGAATAGGGCCTAACGTGTTTCTAGCAAGGTGTAACTAATGAGGTGGCTGGTGAGTGTATACATATTGAAGTGGCAGGCTGAAATGCTTCACTCAATGTTGCTTCAGTAAATGTTACAGTTTCTGTTCCTCCCATATGAATGAGTCTCTTACTCTTTATGTTTTCAGATCATTTCCAAGCAATTACTGGGATAAATTTGTGAAGAGAAAGGTAAGGTCTGGTCTAAAAGTGCTTATGCATTTATATAATTATGTGCATATTCCATGTAGTTACATTGCTTTAAGAACCATAATGACATTTACCGTTTCATCACAGGTGTCATTATTTCCCTGTAAAATACCAAAATGATTTTCTTGCCTCAATAGACAGTGCAACACCTTCAGCCTTCTCATTGATTATGTCTCTGTAGTTTAAAAAAGGAGATCATTGTCTGCTTTAAGAAAGGCCTAATTGGTATTTTTCCCCCAATTTAGGAACACTTAATGTGACTCATAGAAATTCAACTTGTAATGCACTGGTATGAAAGCTAATGGGGGCTATACTACGGGTTTGGGATTACCTCCTTTGGGATTAAAATAACTACTTTTGAGATTTACTAAAGAGACACATACACATTACTAGACACATTACTTTCTTGGCTGGCCTTAGGATTTTCCCTTTCTGAGTGCAGAATTTAAGGAGGACAGTATCTAAATCAATTATACAAATGTAATTTACTAAAGTTTGCAGGTACTTACCCTGAATGACCAGTGTCCCATATTTTTCTGGTGCTTCTGCTTTTTCTTTTTTTGGTAGCGGAGCAGAACTGAATGTAGAGTGTGAGGAGGAGAAGGATTAGTTGCCTAGTTCAAGAGGCCTGCAAGCCATAGATGTATTATCAGCAGCAAAGTCGAGTTTTATAGCGAGTATTTCATTTTGCTGTGTTTTGCTTTTTAGTCACATTTATACACAGAAATATTATTGAAAACCTATCTTTGCTTAAAAGTATCCACACAGATCTCTGCAGCACTACAATCAGATCTCACACATGTTAGACTTGTGTCTAAGTCTTAATGTTGTTAAGGTGTCAATGAATGCAGATCAGCATTTTGAATACAGTATTTGTTTTTTGTACAGGCAGATTAGAGTCAGATGCCTTTATTTGATTTGAGTAAATGCCTGTAGCACGCAGGAAAAAAGACCCCACACATTCATGCATGTGCGGCAGTAACAGTAATTTCAATAGAAACAGATGTGTACACTTTATTAATGTACTGTGTTATTTTGGAGCTGCTAATTTGCTCCACTCTTATTGGCACATTCTTGCGATTGCAGCCTCACTTTATGTGGATGACTTATTAAATCTGGCCTTTGGTGTGTTGCATCAAACTACATTCACTGATCATTTTATCAGGGGAAGCAGTTATTTAAAGTCTTCAGTGTTTGGAACATGCTCCCCTCTCATTTGAAGTGATTTGTTAGGAACAGTGTTAGCAACAACTTTATTTCACTGTATCACTTGTGCTTTACACTTGAATGAATATAGGTTTGCCGTTTTGTTTTGGTGATATGGTGTAATAGACACATCCAGCTAGTATTTATGGTAGTACTCATCAGCTTCTGAAGGGATATTTGGAAGTATTGATTTTATTTCACAGCAGTACTGTATATTGCATTTTCCTGGCAGTGTATATTTGAACAAAAAAATAGATATGACGGGTTCTCACAGCGACTGCTGTGGCTCTAGGGTTTTGTTGAGTTGTAGTTTAATGTTTTGATTTCTGTTAGGCATTACTGATATTCTAATACTTATTTGCTTGAGTATTGGTTTCATATTATGGTTTCAATATCATCCTATTAGGTTAAACTTAGTGGCTTAGTTCTTCTGATTCTTGTTTGACATTCCTGAGTTCTGGTTCTTGTCATGATTTCTGTGCTGTTCTAGTGTTACTGCTGTTTTTGATTTGTGTTTTATTTGGTTTTGAGTTTATCCTTTGAGGGTTGTGTGCGCTAGTTTTGCTTCCTGTCGGTCTTCCCCTGACTCCCTGATTGTTTTCACTTTTCTCTCGGGAGTAGTCAGTCTTCTGTGTATATACAGCATAGAAATGTGTTTCATTTTGTCCTTGTTGAGTCGTTCTCTGTCTGCTACTCTCAGTGAGCTCCTTGTAATTTTTGTTTACCTATTGAAGTATGCATTTTTGGACTATGTAGTCTACTACTAAAGCTTGCTTTTTGTTAAATTGTTCTGCACTGCAATGTGGCCCTTGCCTATACACTGCAAGTTTTATGATAGGCACCCGGTTGTAAGGTGCAATTAATCATTTATTAAGTAATTTTTGCACAAACACCTTCATTTAAAGAAGAAAAAGTCAGGGCTGGAAAGTAATGTTTTGACTTTGAATTTCATTAAAGCACTTTGACTTTGGTTTTGGCTTTTTGCCACTTCATGGACAGTTGGTCTACATAAAATACACCTGGCACTCCCACATTGCATTTAATACCCTTGATTGCATCGTTTTAAGAAATTGCAGTAAAATAGATGGTTAGAAGGTTTGTGATATTGCTTACCAGACTTCAGAGTGCCTGGGTTTGTAATGGCCAATGGGCTTTATAATAAAGCTTGGCTCTTATTTTAATAGATTCAGTCACATAAAGTTGAAACTCCTGTATTTGTCATGAGCCCAAGTTAATATTTTTAAACCGAGATGCAACGCCTGTGCATTCTATCAGGAAGGTAAATGGTAAAGTCTGCATCAACACAAATGTGTTGATTACTTTAAAACCAGTGTTTGTGCCAGTCATTGACACAACTGTCCAAACAAGCAAAACTAAACAAAAAACTCCCAAAAACATTTGCAACACAAGTGTCTGACAATCTTTGTTTTGTTACACTTAGACTATGCAGAATTCAGTATTAATCCAAATACCATTTATCATTGTCTTGTGTAATTCATGTGATGATACACTGAAGAACACATTGCTTGCATCACGATGCAAACATGTCTTCTTCCCTGTTCAGGTGATGGATAAGTACGGTGACTTTTATGGCTGCGAGAAGATAAGTGAACTCCTAGGTCTGGACAAGGCTGCTTTAGACCTTAATTCTGAAACAAAAACAAAGAAGAGGCTCAAGAGAGACACTGCCTGGAGTGCTCTGTGAGTAGAGTTTGCAATTGTGCATTCTTAAAAAGATTCATGGGAAACATCTGAGGTCTAATGTGTCATTTATTTAGCTCTGCGTGCAATTTCAGACAAAATTTTGGTGTAGTTTTTTGTTATTTATGGCATTGCTATAGAAAGGTTTAATGCATGCAAGAACACAATCTCATTTTCTATATTGTATATGCATTTTAATAAATACAAATAATTCTTCCCTGACAGGCCTTCATGATATGGATTAGGTAGGCAGCTGTACACAAAGAAGCTTGCAGTGATCACAATAATGTAGCTACTTATCTGGAGGATAGCTAGTATACAGGCTGTCTGGGAATGACATAAAAAAAAATAAATGTAAATATGAAATCAATACAGCCCATTTTCTAATGCATTTTACTGTGGAAGTGAATTGGACTACAAAATGGGTCCCTGGTGAAATACATTAACAGTCTGGGTTTATTTACTGTTATGTTTGGCTCTTGTGTGGGCCTTGTTAGTAAAATAACATTTCAGGCAAATGATTATTAATAGCCCGTGGCATTTTTAATAATGGTTCTGCGAACAGTGTGTGTGTGTGTGTGT